CTTAAAAGGTGAGCAGGAAGCAGTTAAAATGAATATACAGAGAACAAGAAAACTTTTGGGAAATAAATATACTATTAAACACAACAGAAGTAGAGACAAAAGTTGAAAAAATTCCCTAGTCAAACAAAAAGTCAAAAATTGCAAAATGAGTTAAAAGGTAAGAAAAGCAGAAAATAGCTCAAAATAGTAGTATTCCTAGCAAAAAGAGTAAGGAAGAAATCCTTAAGAGACCTGATCAAAAAAGGTCTTTCAATAAAAGAATTTTAAGAACCAGAAGACCCGAGATTATAGATTAAGGAGGCCCATATATTTTCAGCATAGTGGATGAAAAAACACTTTAAAACACATTTTGATGAAAGTTTTGATAACCGAGAATAAAGGGATTATTCTAAAAGTTTCCAGAGAAAGAGAAACATGATACCTACAGAGGACCAGAAACCAGAATGGCACTGAACTTCTCAAGTGGGAATCAGAAAACGATAAAGCAGTGCTCCCAAATTCTGAAGCAAGGCCAGGCGCTCTGGCTCACACCTGTAATCCCAGCATTTTGGGAGGCCGAGGTGGGCGGATCACTAGAGGTCAGGAGTTTGAGATCAGCCTGGCTAACAAGGTGAAACCCTGTCTCTACTAAAAATACAAAAATTAGCTGGGCGTGGTGGTGGGTGTCTCTAATCCCAGCGACTCGGCAGGCTGAGGCAGGAGAATCGCCTGAGCCCAGGAGGTGGATGTTGTAGTAAGCTGAGATTGTGCCACTGCCTTCCAGCCTTGAGCAGAGTGAGACTCCATCTCAAAAACAACAGCAACAAAAACAAATTCTGAGGCAGAATGATTTCCAACAATTACACTAAACTCATTTGCAGACTTAAAACTCTCTAAGAATCTATTTTCCATATACCCTTTCTCAGGAATCTATTGAAGGAGGTGCTTAAAAAGAAAATAAGCAAAAGGAAAGAAGGAACATAGATGGAAGAAGTCTTGGAATTTAGAAATAGCAGATCCAAAAGAACTGAAAGAGGGACAGAGAATTCACAAGATGCTTGTGAAGGGACCTAGCGGTCCTAGGTGCCTCCAAAAGGATGGAAGGAGTTGGGAGAAGAGATCAAGCATTTAGAGGCGATACTTAGCTTTGAATATTTGATGATTTACTGACAGTTACATAAGCAAACAAAGGGGGAAAAAGAGCCGTTGTTAACATCCATGGACAATTAAAGATTATGTTTACCATGAGAAAAGCAATGTTTAATTGTGGTTTACTGTGTGGTTCACTGTGATTAGCAGTTTTATAATCATCATAATGTAGACACTGTGCTATTGATTCAGTTGAAAGGAGGAGCTGTTACCATTGAAGAAGGGGCGTGAGTCAGAGAGAAAGGTGTATGTGGAGGTAGGCAGCTTGTAGGTAAAAGGTGCTAAGTCCTCTTCTCTCATAGTAGAAGGCAGAAAGTAAGTTAATCTTGAAAAATCACTATTTTTTAATTTGAGGTAAACAGAAGAAACAGCAAAAGGAGTTGAAAATATCTGCCTTGGAGCAGACATCAGGAGTGGGGAGGGATGGAAGAGGAGACTGCTATTTTTATTATTAGTCTAATCGTAGTCCTTTAAAGATGTCACATACATTATTTTGACAAATGTAACGTTTTTACTTTAAAAAGATAGGCTACAGAGTTTTTTCTTTCTTTCTTTCTTTTTTGAGACAGTCTTGCTCTGTTGCCAGGCTGGAGTGCAGTGGCACGATCTCGGCTCACTGCAACCTCTGCCTCCCGGGTTCAAGGGATTCTCCTGCCTCAGCCTCCCGAGTAGCTGAGACTACAGGCATGGGTCACCACGCCCAGCTAATTTTTGTACTTTTAGTAGAGATGGGGTTTCACCATGTTGGCCAGGATGGTCTTGATTTCTTGACCTCATGATCTGCCTGCCTTGGCCTCCCAAAGTGCTGGGATTACAGGTGTGAGCCACTGTGCCTGGCTGAGTTTTTCTATTTTTAAAAATAGGTCTTGGTTCCCTTTTTTCTACATTTATTATATGTAGGATCATAAACACTTGGCTACAACAAAATAGAGGGCAACCTCTTGGATGATTGTACTTTTTATTTTAATAAACATAAGATGACCACAAGTGTGCTGGAGCCATGACGAATGTGAAGTCATGGATCTTGCCTCTTAGCCCAAGGAATTGAGAGCTTAGAGGTTAGAAAGGTATATACATAAATCTTATTGAAACATCTCTGATCATATAGTTGCCTTGACTAAAAACCTTCATGGTTCCAAACTAAATTCTTAGTTTGACATTTAAGAATTTTCTAAAATTCTAGCCCGAAATCTACCACAGTGAGATACCATTTCACACCAATTACAATGACTATAATAAAAAAAGATAATGACAAGTGTCAGGAGGGTGTGGAAAAATTGGAATCCTCATACACTGCTGGTGGGAATATAAAAGTGGTTCAGCCACTTTGGAAGAGGCTGGCAGTTTCTCAAGTGTTCAAACATAGAGTTTCCATTCAACCCAACAGTTCTGCTCTGGGGTGTAATCCCAAGAGAGATGAAAACATGTTCACACAAAAACTTGTGCATAAGTATTCATAGCAAAGTTATTCATAATAGCCAAAAAGCAGAAACAACCCAAATGTCCATCAGCTGTTGAATGGATAAATAAAATGTGGAATATCCATAGAAGGGAATATAATTGAGCCATAAAAAGGAATGAAATACTGATACGTGCTACAACATGGATGACGTTGAAAACATTATGCTAGGGAAAAGAAGCCAGTTGCACATGTTTTATTATTCCGTTTATATCAAATGTCCAGCATAGACAAATTATAAAGAAAAAGGTAGCTTAGTGGTTGCCTAGGGCTGGGAGGAAGGAGAAATGGGGAGTGATTGGAGTTGTGTAAAGAGTCTGTGGGTGATGAAAATGTTCTAAAACTTAGGAGTGGTGATGGCTGCACGACTCTGTGAATATACTAAAAACCATTGATTTGTGTGCTTGAAATTAGTGAATTGTATGGCTAGAAAGGACTTTCTAGGGTAATTTTTCATTCCACTCTATAAAGCTATTTTTAAAAATCCTAACTCTGCCCTACTTTTCCAGACTTATTTCTCATTCTTCCACTTGGCCTCAAGCAAGTGCAGCTCTTTCTCCAGTCCTCCAGTTTAAGACCTACTGCTACTCATCGTTTCCAATCCAGCTGAACTTCCTCTTATTCCATAAAATAGAAAAAGTGAATTCTTCCCAACAGAAAGTAATTTCTGCTCCCAACCTCTACTACACCTTATGTCTCCAGGCACATCACTTTACATATTATGGTATAGAGGAGATGTGTAAGTTGAAGCTTAGTCAACATTTGTCAGCCACATGTACTCAAAAATTACCCTAGAAAATATTTTAAATTGCTTGAACAGTACAATCCTCTTTACATCGAACTTGGCCAGTTTTCCTTCCAAGATTGGAACAGATCCCTCTTCGGTTGAATGCAAGTTGAAAAAGCTGACTTGCATTTATAGGTGTTACATGAAATAAAAAAAAGTACAACAAAACAACCCTACAAATAGTACAAATTTGGATATATGTAATTGGCTTTAGCCAGTTCTTAGCCCTACTTCTCAATGGAAAGAAGCTAAGGCTCTTATCTTGTGTAGTTGGGAGTGAGACGGATGGATGATAGAAGGATTGATTTATGAACTGACTAGTCATCATTTGGGACTTCTAAAATTCAATATACATTTTGTGTGTAATAATTAACCTGTTTCTAATGAAAGATATCATCTAATAAAGTAAATGTTTTCCCCATTTCCCCCCATATTATCTAGAATAGGCTACTTTTCATTAACTTCCAGTAACTTCACCTTGCAATTTAAACAATTGAATATTTGGACCCCACTTACTGCACTGCAGTGGGCTTTTCCCTGACAGTAACCAGACTCCTGTTTTACACCATGAAGTGTTCACACTATCAGGGCCAGGCTGAAACTAACACCTACTAAGACAATGGCGGAATCAAGTCTTTCCACCTTTACACTCTCAGATGTGCACTTAGTAAATAGGAATGGTAGGCAAAATCACCAGATCTTTTGAAATACTTTGTTCTTGTTCTCTGTTTCTTGCCAAGTAAATTGAATTGGTTTGTATAAATGAAATGTGCTGTACGAAAGACTAGTTGAGGCCAGGCATGGTGGCTCACGCCTGTAATCGCAGCACTTTGGGAGGCCAAGGTGGGCGGATCATGAGGTTAGGAGTTCGAGACTATCCTGGCCAACATGGCGAAACCCCGTTTCTACTAAAAATACAAAAATTAGCCGGGTGTGGTGGCGTGTGCCTGCAAGCCCAGCTACTCAGGAGAATTGCTTGAACCCGGGAGGCAGAGGTTGCAGTGAGCTGAGATCACACCATTGCATTCCAGCCTGGTGACAGAGCGAGACTTTGTCTTTAAAAAAAAAAAAAAAAAGAAAAAGACTAGTTGAATAAATGATGTACCATCCATACAGTGGAATACTGTCACAGCTGTTACTAAGGAAAAACAAGCAAAACTGGGTTTATAACATTGATGCATCTGAGTTTTGTTTTGAAGAAATAATATGTATATATGTATTTTATGCAAATATACATATGCCCTCCAAAACAAAATTTTGTGTATATTTGCTCATGTATAAAATATTTCTGAAAGAATATGTAATAATTCGGTAATAGCAGTTGCCTGAGGGGAAAGGAACCAGGAGTTGATGACAGGGGTGGAAGACTTAACTGTTTCTACAAATGCTCTTTAGCATGGTTTGACCCTTACTACATGTGTATATTACTTTTCCAATGGAAAACATTTATATCTTCTTACTAATTAACTGTTAATCGTTCATGGTAAATATTTATACGTCATTTTGAGATTTTCATTTTAAATTAGCAGAAAATACATGTATACTGATAATGTGTGCTACTGCTTGTAGGCTTCTCCAGCAGCTAATATATATACCACCAATGATTTACCAATTTGTGTTTCACAGAGTTACATCCATATGGGAGAACAGTCTCCAGATCACTACAATTTCTAGTTTTGTAGGAGCATGGCTTGGAGCACTTCCTATTCCACTGGATTGGGAAAGACCATGGCAGGTTGGTTTCAGTTACTTAAAGCAACAAAATCAATGTTTGTACAATGACAGTAAAACTGATGAAGCAAACTAGTATGTATATGTAAATCGTTTTGTTGTTCAATTAAGTAGGGATGCCAATTCTCTCAGTCACTGTAACCTAGGCAGCTTCTTATTGGGGACTGTCCCAGTGCCACAGGCATCCAGGTAGGCCTGGTTTTATCTTCTAGCACTATTTTTTGCACATGTACAGATGAATAAACAAGCTTATTTTGTGATTATATATAGGTGGTATCCTTTTTTTTTTTTTTTTTTTTGTCTTTTTGTTTTTTTCCTTTTTGTGGAGAATGGGGTCTCGCTATATTGCCCAGGCAGGTCTCAAACTCCTGGGCTCAAGCTATCCTCCCACCTCTGCCTCCCTAAGAGCTGGGATTACAGGCGTGAGCCACAGCGCCCGGTGATTTGTTTATTTAAAGAAAAAAAAAAGGTTAAGGCCAAGCACGGTGGCTCATGCCTGTAATCCCAGCACTTTGGGAAGCCAAAATGGAGGTCAGGAGATTGAGACCATTGTGGCTAACAAGGTGAAACCCTGTCTGTACTAAAAATACAAAAAAATTAACCTGGCGAGGTCGTACACACCTGCAGTCCCAGCTACTTGGGAGGCTGAGGCAGGAGAATCACTTGAACCTGGGAGGCAGAGGTTGCAGTGAGCCGAGATTGTGCCAGAGCACTCCAGCCTGGGCAACAGAGCAAGACTCCATCTCAAAAAAAGAAAAAGACAGGTTCTCACTATCTTGCCCGGGCTGCCTCCAGTGCTTGGGCCCAAGTGATCCTCCTGCCTCAGCCTTCCAAGTGACTGGGACTTCAACAGGTGTGTGCCTGTAGTCCCACTTGCTGTGAGCCCAGCCAGTATATAGGAATCTTTTAAAAATTAGGCTAATAGTTGCAGAAATGTCCTGTTTTCAAGTGTGATTTTTATTGCCCTTGTGGTCTTAGATGCAAATTTTCTGAACTTGATGGGTGGTCAAATTGAATGTTCATCTTGAAATTTTTAGAAGCAGATAGCAAGGTAAATTTATGAAGCAGAGGCCTGTGTTATCAAGAAAGCTCACAAACATCAGATTTTTCCTCTCCTCTCACAATAAGATAAAGCTGATATGCTTGGTAAAGCACTGTGAGATAAGTGCTCTTTTTATATGCATTTTACAGGTGAGGAAACTGACACCTAGAGGGTATGTAACATTCTCAAGGTCACTGAATTTATGGTGATGACTGTATCTTAATGACTCTGTAGTATGCAGTTACATACTATTTAACAAATTCAGTATTTATCATGTAATTGTTGCCAATATTTTACAATAGTAAACACTGCTGTGATAAAATCTTTGAATCTATAGCTTCATGAATTTTTCTAATTATTTTCCTAAGGTAATAACTCCCCAAAAGAATTACGGCATGAAAAAATAAATGTGCTTTCTTTTTCCAACATTAACAGAATTGTTTTCTGATCACAAAGATGTATTTATTTAGAAAATTTAAGCAATCTTAGTTACTTTCCTCGCCAGCCACCCAGAGGCAACCTCCATTTGCTTTTGGTGATAATTTTTGCAGCTGTCTTTCTCCATGTATGTAACTATAATATTCATGTTCTTTTTAATCTTTTTTCCCCTCAGCAGTATATTATGGAGCTCATTCTATGTCAGTGAAACTTACATATATGTAATATTTCATTATTTGTGTAAAATATTGTGCCGGTTTTTTATTAAAGAATGTTTAGGTCATTTCCCATTTCACTAATCGTAATATTTTATTATCAAATACAGTTGTTGTCATACTTAAACATACATCTTTGCATATTTGTCCAATTTTCTCTGTAGGGTAAAGTCCTAGGTGATGAATTGCTGAATTAAGTCCTTGATACATACCTCATTTGTCGAATGTGGGATCCAGACTCTGTGCCTTGCACATAACTGCTTACTTCTAGGTCCATTCTTTGTGCTTTCAGTTAGTGTGTCTTCCCGAAAGTCAAATTGTTCTTTCATGTTTAGTAATTCTGATGGGTTTGCCCTTCCCTGTTTTAACTCTTCATACACTATGTTAGAGAAATCCTTGGAGGTTTGGGGTGTGTAGCGTCACCAATACCCATCCCAAGTTTTTGGTACTAGTGAAGTTTTCCTATATATTTCTCTGGCCATCTCAGTGATCACTGGGAGATAGGGATTCATCTGTGCTTAAGTTGACATCTTATAGAAGTCATTCATACTTAATGCCATTCAGCAGACTGTCAGTGATTTCTAAATTGGAGGACAATCAAAATCATTGAAAAGCATACACAGAAAATTGTTTTCAACTGTGCAGATTCATTACTTTCAAGTAATGCAATTAAATCTCAATACAAAATATTGATAAAGCACTGTGGGACATCAGCTTTAATGAGTTGGAAAAATGATATATAACAAACGTATCATTTTGTATATAGATGGAATATTTTAGAGTGTAAAAGTTTGATATATTACACATAATTTCAGTTTTTTGTTTACGAGACAGTGCAGAAGTAGAAACTGAATTAAGGGGAATATATGTGCTTTATAAAATGTGTTTGTTTGCTAAGAAAATATATATCTTAATTATTTACAATTCAGTTATCCATTCTGAGATTGTTCAGGCTTTTAGCTGATGACTCATTTTTCTACCTCAGTGCTTGTTAACAAAAATAAGGGTGAACTGGATCCAAATTGATGGTATTACTTTTTAAATTAATGTAAAGTTTGCATTTGAATTACTGACTTTTAAAAAAGATTTTCTAGCTAGCTGGAAATCTAATTTAATTTTAAATCTAATTTAAATACATGGCAACTGCTGGTTTCCATTAAGAATGTTTCATTCAGCTAGAATATTACTGGCCATATAATTATCTTTACTATTGGGTTGTTTTTAGAGTATTCCAAGTTAATGACCCACGTAGTCACTGTAATCCTTTTAAATTATGAAATGTATTGTTGAGGGAATGATAGAATTGATGTATAATTAAAAATCTTTTATTCATATAGCACCTATCTGCCCCTTGCCCTTTTTGCAGTTATTTACTAAAGAAATGAGATTTTTTTCACTTTTTATTTTCATCAAATAAAGTTTTTTGTTATTGTTATTTTTTAATAATTCTAACTACACAGAACAGAATCTCCCAGAGAAGCAGTAAATCAGATAAGGGAATATGGCATTTCCTAAAAATGGAGAGTTTGCTAGAGCAAAATATCATGAGAAGACGGTACAGTATACACTTTATTATCTTAAATAGAACATGTATTAAGAAGAGATTCTTGTTCTGTGTTCCTTGTGGCCCAATACCGATTTGATCTGTCTGTGGTAAAGCAAGCTTTTCTGGATTGTGTTCTGGTATTATTTACACTCCAGTCAGAGAAACAGGAATATCTGGTTAAGCCATTATACCTTTAAAATCACACACATGCACACAAACGCAAAACCCCCACAAAATCTATTCCGTGTTTTAATGCAGTTTTCTTTACTTTGAACTCAAATCACTGTATAACATTCCTGAGGCCAAGCATAAGATTAAACTGATAAGGATTCTGTAATGAGCTATTTCAAGCGTATTTTTATGTTTAAAATAATTTCTTCATTAAATGACTGGAAAGGCCCATTGAAAATATGTGATCTCAATGAAAAAGTTTTTTAACTTAATATAAATCTTAAGTGATTTTAAGTAACGGCAAGTGATGAAAGATTAGGCGTCTTTATAGTTGGAGGAAGCCTTTCTTTTGTAGAAGACAGAAAGGGAATGTGGTTAAAGAGATTATGGTAGGGCAGCTACCCATTATACTGTTGGTCATCATTGTTGTTAATATTTGAAAGTCATCTTACTTCTCTCTTCTCTGTTAATTATTTGCCTTAAAATCTCAGCAAGAAAACAAATATTTGAATTTACCATAATCCAGATAGCCTTTTTCACTTCTAGAGAAAGCTTATAGTTACTGACAAAATAAATATTTAGACACAGAAAACCTTATAACTTGATTCTTTATCTGCTGTAACTAAATAGCTAATCAAGTATTTGTTGTTGTTACTGCATGCAAAGCATATGTTCTGTGTAAGTAAATATAACATATTTAAATACACCCAGGACTGGAATTTAATTATTTAATAATTTAGATTTGGACTGTGATTTAGATTTAATATGCTGTAAGTATTTCATAGAACATGTACTTATGAGGTTTTCATCTGGAAAATGTCCTATCAAAATATGGCTAGTATTGCATGTTATAAAAAGTTACTGGAAGGTTAAGAAAGGTTGGTTATTATGAGCACAGGAAATTGACCATAAGATTTTTAAACTCACATGTTTTACTAATGGGTAGGCAGATAACATGATGATTAGGAGTTCTGGCATCAGATTTCTGGGTTCAGATCCCGGCTCTGTCACTTGCTAGTGAGGATGAAATAATAAAATCCTTCTAAAATACTTAGTGCCTGACAGGCGGTTATTGCTTAATTAATGTTACAGGCATTTGTGACTGAGAAAGAAATAGTTTCATGACTATGTTTTTAGCCTTCCAAAAAATGCAAATTCCATTATTTGAGTTCTCATATATTAGAGAATATGTTAATTGTCTCAGTTATTTTTTCTGCCCAGCAGTCTTTCAGTTGGTAAAGTGGACTGTTAATTTATCTATTTCTCTGGTATTTAGTTATACCGATTTAGGGTATTTGGATTTCACATAATTTTAAATCCTGTCCGACATTTCAGATGACAGTAGAAAGAAAGCATAGCATTTGTAGATTCTCTCCATGTACCCTGCATGGGGCTTGGCACTGTCATATGAATAACTTAATCCTGACAACCGTAGTGCAAGGTAGGTTTCATTCCCATTTTATACTCTAGAAAGTCAAAGTGTGAGAGGGGAGGAGTACACATCTTGCTTAGCATTACTCAGCGGGGAAGAGTAAGACTTAAGATTCACATGACAGCCCCAATGCACCATGATTCTTTTCATTGCTGGAGATTACAACATAGCTTTTCTTTTTTAAAAAAATGGTCATAGCTTAGGTCTCTTTGGAATAGCTTAAGTAGTTATTATATTGCATTTCTTTCCCCACATTGTTTCCATTAAATGCCTTGACCACTCTGGTGGTATCTGTATTTTAGGCCATAATTTATTTGTAGGAGACTATTTAAAGCTAATATGCAATGCTTTTGTCCCTAATGAATCCACACGTACCTTCAATCTATGGACTTCAGTGCTACAATCTTTAAAAAGATTTGAACCAAATAATCAAGGCTCTTCTAGGATACTTATTTCTTACAAAGGTAAAAAGCAAAACTGAATCAAAGTATTTTAAATAACTGAATTTGGAGTTTTGAATTTTAGACACCTGAGATTGTCTTTGAAACCATTTAAAATTGTTTTAAAATATTTGTACTTACTCCCATCAGACACCAGATAAATGAGGCATTGTTGTATTTAAAAATCTGGGTGTTTTTGTTTGTTTGTTTTGTTTTGTTTTTTTCAGTTTTACCAGGTTAAAAACTTAATACTTGCGAAATATGTGTATTCATTTCCTGAAGTCACAGATGCCATAGATAATTGTAAGTTGAAACTAGAAATCAAAGGATTATAACTACATGGATTATTCCAAAATGCTGAAGGGAGATTAAAACTAAGATTATGGATTTGATTGATTGAAGAGCTGCATGTCTTGATGTTAATTGGTATTTCCATTACCAAAGGGATTATACTGTGTTTTAGGCCAAAATAAAATATTCACTTATGTGAATATGGTTTATATGTTTCAAGCATGAGAAAAATGTGTTAACACTTAACTGGCATGAAATAATTTTGGATTTAAACGGTGTGTTCGTTGTAGGGTAATGATGTTGATAATGCTCTGCTTATAGGACTTCCACATGAGAGAGAATAATGCTGGCCAAGTTAACTCGTTTGCATGAGTTGTGACCAGGACCTTTTAGTGTCATTCTGACAAGAATTCCAGACCAGAAACTATACACACCTCCACAAATAACTCTTACTAAAATAGTATTCTTAATCACAGAAGAGTGTATACATGGATCAGTGCAGTTTTTAACTACAGAAATGTATCCCAATCACTACGTTCATTTGTGCATATATTCCTGTATCAGACAATAGCATTTACTTTGGGAATATCTGGAAAAACGTACTGTTCAAGGCCAATTTTGAGAATATAAATGATTATTTATAACCAGTAAGGTCAGCAGGCTTTGAAAGATGAACTCTCTCAGTTATGCAAATGCAAATATGTGATAAGCACAATCAACAAAACAGACATACTGAAAAGTAGCTCATGAGATTGAGAATGAGCTGCCTGGGTTTTATTTTCCTTTTTATCTGGAGAGAGAGACAGTAGTCATAATGGTTGAGTTGTTCTAAGTGTCTCTAGGTGTTCTGACTTGCAGATAGGTCAGTTTCTCCCTATTATCTGTGACAGTAAATCTCCCCCAAAAGTATAAGTAACTTTTTTTAATTTGGAATACATATTTATTTTATTTTTTTAGGAACACATATTTTTAAGAATTTATATTAAAATGTACCCAAAATTAAATAATCTATTTTGCACCTTTAACTGCTGGGTTAAGGTAGGGGCTCAATAAATAGTTTTCAACGAATGGAGTAATTCATATGAGGCTTTAAAAATTAACACAAATGCCTACAAATGATTAGTTTAAAACCACTATGTGTACTTATTTTGCTTCTTAAAATTTATGAAAAATGACAGCTAGCAGCAGGGAATCATTCCTCCTTCTGAGGTGAGGCTACAGATGGCTAACGTAATGCCAGTATGTTGTACAGCTCTTGAATTTGCTCTTGTAATAGAGATTCCATGTGAAGAACAGCATGTATTAAAGATGATTGCTTTGCAAGGGTAAGGGAATAGTTCCTACCACACAGTATAACATTACTCATGAACTATTTGTTCTAAACTGCCCGTTCTACTTACTACCTTTCTACATATTACAGTTATTAGTTCTACTTATTACTTGGTCTATGACTGGAGAAATACTTAGTGTTCATGTAAGTTTAATTTTTTCAAGTTACAACATTTAATATACAGAATACCGATACCATGTACTTTATAGCTTTTATGACCAATTTTAAGAGATTACTTTAGCCCTGCATTTTAAGTATAATAGGTACTTCTGTCCCTGGTTTGCAGATTGGGAAACTGAGGCTCATATGTTAAAATGAGCTGGTCAAGGTCACTTAACATCTGATGTACCACTAGATTTTTTTTCTTATTGGTAATTGAGTTGTAATATATTTGATTATACAGCATAGGTTGTTTCTTCTATTTAATGGCTAAAAAAAATTTAAATTTATAAAAAAACTTGATTGTCATTTTGGTGGCAAACACATGTGAATGACTTCCTTTACATGAATGTGTTTGTTCTAAGTTTTCTATTTTCTTTCAACAAAATAAGATAATTATATAAAGCCATCCCAGATTACCGTAATTTGGAGAAATCTTTATAGTGATGCAGCTGAATTATCTGTTTATACCATTTTTAAAAAATTCTATTTGTGGCACAAAGAATTTTGAATAGAAACATTTCTGTATGTGAGATAAGGAAATAGTTTTAAAGGAAAACCTTAGGATCTAATTATGAAAATACATGATTAAGCCAGGATTGACAAGTGAATTCTGTTGCCATGGTGTAGTTTTAAAATTTTTATAAAAATCAGAAGAAATTTAATAGGCAATTGCTTGAGGAATAGTTCTTAGTGGGCAGCCTCCCTCCTTTTGTTGTTCCCTATTTTGATCTTAAAAAATCATGAAAACTGCCCTTAGATAAAGAAATTCAGTTTTAAAAAATGACAGTGTTAAAATTAACAAATGCTTATCTCAGGAAAGCCAAGCAGATACTCTCTTAAGTACAAAGCGTGACCCATCATTAACAGTCCTGAAAGCCAGTCCAACATTTTAATTTGCTGATGGCATGGACTTCTTGATTTACGTAACATGAATAGCCAAGTATTCCAAGCTGTAACCCTTCATTAGACAAAATTTTTTAAACATTTCATTTTTGGCATTGTGTTGGAGGCGAGGTTTGGCAGCTGTTTAAAGAATGTGTGTGGTGGTATGTATGTGTCTGAGAATAAAGAGCCATACTGAAATTACAAAATGATTAAAATACAATTTAGTAACCAAAATTGGAATCTAGCTGGGATTCATCAGGGATTACTATTCTCCCTATACTTTAAGCTTTTTTTAACAGAGTATAGGGACTCATACTTTGCCAATGATTAGTAGACTCTCAGCCTAAAGAAACAAAGGAAAGAGTATTATCCCAAATGTTTACATAGGGTATTAAATGAAAACTACTAAGGTCAAAAGTTCAGTGCTTTCCGTAGATAGTAAACTATGCATCGTATTTGATTTGTAACCCCATGTGTTAGGAAGGGACACTGTTAAAGTAACAGTCATTTAAAAGGAACAACCAACAAACTGGTATTTAATTTGGTATTTTAAATACTTAAAAATCAAATGGAAAGCAGTGTCTAAAGTAACTAAGATAATTCATAACAAAACTCATGAATCCAAACTCTACTTACTGTAAATAGAATTCACCATGAGCTAACCTAAAATGTACCTGTGGAGTTTAAAAAAAGGGTGTAAGCAAAGTATTAAATAAGATTTCAGGTAGCCCCTAAATTTGTTTTTAAGAATTTTAGAACTAATTTTCTATATGCAAAAAGTGATTAACTACAAATTTCTTGTAAGTTCATTCATACATGGCCTTATTTGAGGCAATGTATTTGTATTCACTAGCAAAATTTATGTCAATAAAGTATTTTTGAAGCATTTTATTTCCCACATATTTCACTAGTTTGAAATAGTCACTTCAGTGATTAGTCTGAATTTCTATTGAAACCTAAGCTTTTAATGAAGACATGCTTCTGAAAATAAGGCAGTTTTTCTATAGGTTGCTTATGAATAGAAACAAATCTTTGGTTTTTAGTTAAAGTGGCAGGAAGGATCTTTGCAAAAAGAAATACTAAAGCAGCAAAGCAATTAAAAAGCTCTTGATAAGCAATGGAGAACTCCAAACCCCATCGAGGTCAGTAGAGTACTTAAGGCACCTCAGGTTCAGATGAGACAGTCATCTTTGCTTAGAGTTCTGATAATCTATATACATGATTTTTACCATCTTGAGACTGTGAAACTGAAAAGGTAATGTCCAACTATGATTATTGTGAATAAGAAGAGAATCCTAAGAGCTGATAAATGGGAGAGACGCTGGAATCTCTGTTCTACCTCCCACATTTATAATGAAGAAACAAACGCCCAGTCAAGAAACAGGTGACACCAGTTTGTGTTGACAAATTCCCAATCCATTTCTGTTAGAGCAGGACAAATGCTAGACTTTAACTTTGAATGGCTAGTAAACCAAGTGTGAAGGGTTTCAGAGCGATGAATTTGACCCCCTCCCCCCAAAAAAATCCTCATAAATCCCCAAAGGCAAGTTGGAAATGTATAATAGTTTACTGTTGTAATTCTTTTATACCATGTGTTGGACAACTTAGCTAATATGTTAATTGATTTATACAATTCCTTTCAATTTTATCTAAAAATAGCAGACCAAAATTAAATAAGAAAGTTACATAAGATTCCATTTGAGCATACATAAGGCCATGATACTTAATGTGAACCACCATTTCTTGGAAGAAAGAAGACATCCAAATGTCCGATTCTGAGAGAAAGTTCCTGACCAGTCATCCAGTAGACTCTCTCCACTCTTCAATGGGAAGGTGATGCTTATATTTTTAAAAATCTCTACAAAGCTCACATACAACAAGACAGTACATCCTAGATTTGTGACTGATATGAGCATTTAAGGCTGTCATTTTCAAGTATAAAAGTTTAGTGTTCCATTACCCAATCTGTGCGGTAGACATAGCTGTAAGCTCAAGTCATGTGAATTAACAGAAGTCCACCAAAGACATTTAAAAAATCATTAATTTAGGCAACAGCAAGTTTAAATGTAGGAAAGGCTAGAAAAAAATGTATAGATGAGATTGTTTCTCTAAACTGCTAGGTTGTTCACAATGAAGCTTTGTCTAACACCATTATCTTATGCATGGCATTTTCAATAAGGCAGATCCACAGCAGACCAAACAAGGAAGCTGAATTAGGTAATAGAACTAGCAATTAAGACGGTTCACCTCTAACACAGTTCTGTGGCCTGTTCCCCCAGAGAAAGATTAGAAATGGCTCCAGTGTACTAAATAAGCTTCACAGAAGAACATGGAAATTTCTCTCCAGCTTTTTTTTTTTAAGCAGAGCCTTTCACTTAGGGACTAACACATGCACTGCTTTTAGATGAAATAAATCAACATTAATTACCTCACTTAAGCAGAGTGAGGCTGGAGAAAATGGGTCTCTGGAAGCTGGTATTGTGTTTAACTTACATTCTAGGTGTGTATGTAAGTTGTCATTCTATACGTTCTGCTGTGGTTCCAACATTTATAGCTCAAAGGTGGAAACAGCTGCTCTGTTATAATTTTCATGTAACATGCTTGGATTCTAGGTCTTTCCTCCTTAACGCAACTTAAAGTTTCTTGTGGTTTGGTCAGCATACACACTTCTCATTTCATTTGATGTACACAGCCAATGTGGGAATTTAAAAAAAAAAAAAAATTACCAACTAGTTAAGAGAGCTAAATTGAGTCCAGCATTATGGCAAAGTCTGACCCAAAATTTTAATTTGTAATTTTAGCATGTGTCTCATGCACTTTGGGGGAGCATCAAACTAAATCTACAATTGCCAGAAGCCTTGTTACAGTTTAATGCACATTAACTAAAATGTGTACATTTTTAGTGTTCATGATAAATGCAATTATGACGTTATTACACTCTTGGTATTCTTTAAGAAAGCACATTAAGCTTTAATATAGAAATATTTAGGTTACACTTGTGCTCAAGTAATAATAAAACATTTGTTCTTTTTTGATCTCATACACTCTCTCCTCAGGTATGGCCCATCTCCTGTACGCTTGGAGCGACCTTTGGCTACGTGGCTGGCCTTGTTATTTCACCACTCTGGATATACTGGAATAGAAAGCAACTTACATACAAGAACAATTAACTGGAGCAAAGGGAGATATTTCTTTGTGCAGATTCCGTAAGGGCTGTGCAGAAATGTGTATGGTCAAAGCCAAGCAGTTCCATTTACAGCACTGTTTTTTATGTAGTTACAACATGATGTGATTGTAGCTTTTTAAACTATGAAACCCCTGAGAGATTGTACCTTCTAGTTGAAATAAAGTATTTATAATAGATTGTGGCTTCAGATGCTGTTTACTGCTTCTTAGACCTTTAAGGAACATTCTTAATAAACTTTATAGAATTCTAAGGACAGGTTTTGTTTTCTTTCAAGTTTTGAACTGCTTCCATTAGCTATAAAAGGTCTGGGTAGCATGTCATATGCTTTCTGAGAGAAATAGTTTCCTTGGCCACTGAAGATGTTTCTCACGTAATTAAACAACAGTTTATACATCTTGATCCTATTCTTTTTTTTACAGTGTGTTTCTTTGGAGTTAAAATGGCTATGATAGCCTCATCAAAAACAGTCTTCAATCCCTTCTGGGTTAAAGCTGAACATTCCACATAGCAGCATGCTCCTATCTGGGAGGGAGAAAAAAAAATCACAAATATATAAAATTATGTTTAGATAATTGGCATGACAAATACATCATTGTAAAGAAAAGTATAAAATACAGCTATGCAAAAAGAATATATTCATCATGTAATACGTTCATGATCCCCAGAGGGGATTTTAAAATACTAGTATATGTCCTTCCAGACTTTCTATTAAAAAGTATTTCATTCATCACTTACTTCCTGGGTATCTACTATATGCCAAGCACTGTTTAGGTCCTGGGGATATGTCAGTGAACTGAACAAAAGAGCAGAGTCCCTGCTGTGTGGCGCCCACATGTGCTGACATCTGGGTGAGAGGCATGCCAGAGGGAAGACAGAGCAGATGGCGGCAAATGCTGTGGGGAGAAGCAGAATGAGGGAGGCGGGGAGTGCTGAGGACAGTGGTAGTGGTGGTTGAGGGAAGCCTCTCATGGGGAAGTTTGAGCAGTGAGGGATACCCAGGGGAAGAGCTCCAGGCAGGTAGATCCTGATGCAGAAGCATGCCTGGAGAAGTCAGAACAGTATCACACTGAGGACATGATAATTTGAGCAGATACCTGAAAAGAGTGAAAGAATGAATGATGGCTATAGGGAAGAACATTCCAAGCAGAGGGAGCAGCAAAAATACAGAGGTTCTCAAGTAGAACTTGGAACAGCAAGGAGACCAGCAGGCCTGGGGAACAATGAGTAAGGCAGAGAGGGAATAGGGACTTGTAGGCCACAGTGTGGACTCTAGCCTTTAGTCTGAGCTGGGGACTCACTGGAGGATTCTGAGCAGAGCAGTGACATGATTGGGCCTACATTTTTAAGACTTAACCCTGGCTGCTGTGTTGAGAACAGGTGATCATGGGGCACAGACAGAAGCAGAAAGGTGAGTTGGAAGCTATTCCAGTAAAGCAGGCCAGAGATGGAGGAGGCCTGAATCAGGTGACCGAGGAAGAGGTAGAAAAAAGGGTCTGGATTCTGGATATGTTCTGAAGGTATATTGTGCTGAAGAGCTAGACGTGTGGTATGCAAGAAAGAGCAAGGTCAAGTATGACTTCAGGGTTTTTTTTTTTTTTTTTTTGGACAGAGTTTCACTCTTGTTGCCCAGGCTGGAGTGCAATGGCAAGATCCTGGCTCACTGCAACCTCTGTCTCCTGGGTTCAAGCGATTCTCCTGCCTCAGCCTCCCGAGTAGCTGGGATTACAGGCATGCACCACCACGCCTGGCTAATTTTGTATTTTTAGTAGAGATGGGGTTTCTCCATGTTGGTCAGGCTGGTCTCAAACTCCTGACCTAAGTTATCCATCGCCTTGGCCTCCCGAAGTTTTGGGATTACAGGTGTGAGTCACTGCGTCCAGCTGAAGGCTTTTGACCTGAGTAGCTGGTCAAAAGGGAGGACAGGCTTGGAGGGTAAAATTAGGAATCATATGTTAATCACATGTTAATTTTGACATACTCAGCCACCTAGATGGACTTGTTGAGTAAACAGCTGAATAACCAAATTGAGAATTGAGGAAAGAGGTCCAGGCTAGAGATGGAAATCTAGGAATCTATGGTTGCAGACTGTTGAAGCCGCACAACTGAGAGAAGATCATTTAGGCCTAGGGAGTGTGGCTGTAGAAGCAGCCACATCCATAAAGCTCAGTGCTTATCCGTGGGGCCCTCCAACCAGGGACCAAGGAGATGAAGAGATGGAGCAGAGGCCAGTGAGAGGGGAGAAAAACCAAGAGAGGCCAAGGGAAGATAAAGACTCAAGAAAGATGCAACTGTGCCAAATGCCGATGGGTCTAGAAACAGGATCATACTGTTTTGCAACTACTTTATTCCCTTTAACTACATAATAAATGTGAACAGATATTTTAGTGTGAAGTTTACTAGATGCAGGGAATTTTTGCCATTATAAACAAGTCAGCATCTTTGTAGCTATCTCTTTAAGCACATCCCTAATAATTTATTAAACATTATAAATGGACAAAGTATAATTGTATATATTTATGAGGTACAAGGCAATGTTTTCTATATACATACACAAGTGAAATGATTATATCAACCTGATTAACATCTATCATCTCAAATATTTATCATTTTGTATGGTGAGAACATTTAAATTTTATTTTTTTAGCAATTTTGAAATATGCAGTCCCCCATTACTTTTTTTTCCTTTCTCTCTTTTTTTTTTTTTTTTTTTTCTTGAGACAGGATCTCACTCTATCATCCAGGCTGGAGTGCAATGACACTATCTTGGCTCACTGGAACCTCCACCTCCTGGGCTCAAGTGATCCTCTTGCCACCATGACCAGCTAATTTTTTTTTTTTTTTTTTTAGTAGAGTAGAGATGGAGTTTCACCATGTTGCCCAGGCTGGTCTCAAATTCCTGGGCTCAAATGATCCTCCCACCTTGGCCTTCCAATGCTGGGATTACAGGTGTGAGCCACTGTACCCAGCACCACCATCATTAACTGTAGTTACCATGCTATGCAGTATATCTCAAAAAAACATATTCATCCTGTCTAACTAAACACTGTACCCTTTGACCAACATCCTAATGATTTGCTTAGGATAAATTCTTACATATGGAATTGCTTGATCAAAACTATCCCTGATTTTAAGGATTTTGCATATTGTCAAGAATATTTTGATTCAATGACCAATAGTACAACAGAGTGTCCGATTTACTATACCCTTGGAACAGGGGGTATTATAATTAATTTCTCATTTTTTGCCAATTTTATAGGTTCAAATTGAGCTTATATTTGACTACTAATAAAGTATGAACATATTTCCTATCTTCAATGGCAATCTGCACTTTGGGGTGAATTTTTCATTGTTAGTCCATTTTTCTATTGGGATCTGTGTCTTCTGATTAATTCGTATGCAAGGGGTTCCTGTATACTAAGGATGTTAACCCATTTTTCTGTCATCCATCTCAGGTTATATGACTTTCATTTTATTTCTGCCATCTGATGTGGTATTAAGTTTTTATGCAATTAAATCATTAATTATTTTCATTTATGACTTTTGTCTTTATGACATTTAGAAATTCCTTCTGTCCCTAAGATCACAAAATTGAATGCATGAAGCCATTTATCTTTTGCTTTAAGAAAAACTGTCCTCCAGAAAGTCTTCTTGCTTTCTTTTGCTTCCTGATAGTACATTTTAAAAGACCATATATAGTTTCTGTTTCCACAAAAGTCATACTGCAATCACAACATTTAAAAAACAGAATCCAATAATGTTAAGGCCAAATGGGAAAAAAGGGATAAAAGTAAACCTAGCATTGGGGCAAGAAGGAAGATAAGCTACCACAGTCATATGTCTTTTTAGAATTTTAATACTTTCTATTCTTTTTTCATAAAAAAAAATTGGAGAAATTTCAATACATTTCTTTTAAAACCTAGTCATCATTTTTTGGTTTTAACCACAAATTTAAACTGCCATCCTATGTGGCTCCACGACCTAATTCAGTGAGTCAAGACAGCCGATTTGGCACACTGCACATGGGTAAGTAACGAAGAAGGGCTGACAGTAGTGACACGTATTTCTGATGCTTTCTTCTATATGTGACTTTTTAGGAAAATATCGTTGGCAATGCAGCACAGGTGTAAGAGCCTGTACCCTGGAGTCAGGCTTTGGATTGAAACCCAGCTCTGCCATTTACTACCTGCAGGGTCTTGGGCTAATTATCTGACATCTCCAAGACTCCACTCTCTCTTGTGTGTAACGGGGAAACAGACCTACCTCACTGAGTTCATGCAAGGATTAAATGAGATAATGCATGTAAAGCACTCAGCACAGTGCCTGGCATACAGTAAATGCACAATAAATGTTAGCTTCTATTGTTATCTTAGCTTCTTTTACGTTCATGCTTAAATTCTCTAAGTGTTCCATTACCTCTTTTGCTAGTTTCTGTCCTTGTTCCACACATATAGGTTTTTCTTTCATATCATTCAGTCTTGCTAAAGTTTTGGGGTCATCTCGGAGATCAATCTAATTAAGAAAGGTCAATAATGTCCCAAAATATTACAAATCTTTAAAGAAAAATCAAAGCATGTAATCCCACTTAATCCCCACATACTAAAAAAAGATTAAACAAAAGAACTTAATTTTTAAAAACCAGGAATACAATTGTTTTCTTTTGGAACAATTTTTTCCAAAAATATGATAGAACTCATTAACTAGCAGCTCAGATTAAACACTTACATCATTTGCTCAACCTTGGGGCCGTTTGAGAGCAATCCTTAATATAGGCAAAGAGCTTACTGTAAAATGCAGAAAATCAAATCAGACATACCTGAGTTCCTATTAATAAAAAGGGTACATTTGGTGCGTATTCCTTAAGTTCTGGTACCCACTCCTCTTTCACATTTTGAAATGAGGCTGGATTTACCACCGAGAAGCATATAAGGAAGACGTCGGTCATTGGGTAAGATAAAGGCCTCAGACGGTCATAGTCTTCCTAAAGAATGAAGAAAAGCCTCATTATGTGTTGACATTTCTATAGTTTAACTAATAATATGTACATTAGATTACGCGAACAAAGAGGCAAATTCAGGAGTACTCCACTAGTGGAATGTATGGCACTCTACATAAAATCAGATAACTCTGTTTTTGTTCTTCTTCCTTGTGAAGTTCTGAATACCCGAGAGGTAAAAAAAAAAAAAAAATGACGATATTGTTAACAATGAAAATATCATTAGCAATGACAATGAAAACTTCAGAAAAATACATTGTGATCACTGACGCTGTCACTAAAAACATTTTTTTTCTTTTTTTTTATTGCATTTTAGGTTTGGGGGTACATGTGAAGAACATGCAAGATCGTTGCATATGTACACACATGGCAGCGTGATTTGCTGCCTTCCTCCACTTCACCTATGTCTGGCATTTCTCTCCATCCTCTCTCTCCCTAACTCCCCAACCCTCGCTGTCCCTTCCCTATTTCCCCCGCAACAGACCCCAGAGTGTGATGTTCCCCTCCCTGTGTCCATGTGTTCTCATTGTTCAACACCCGCCTATGAGTGAGAACATGTGGTGTTTCATTTTCTGTTCTTGTGTCAGTTTGCTGAGAATGATGGTTTCCAGGTTCATCCATTTCCCTACAAAGGACACAAACTCATTGTTTTTGATGGCTGCATAATATTCCATGGGGTATATGTGCCACATTTTCCCTGTCCAGTCTATCATCGATGGGCATTTGGGTTGGTTCTAGGTCTTTGCTATTGTAAACAGTGCTGCAATGAACATTCGTGTGCATGTGTCCTTATAGTAGAACGATTTATAATCCTTTGGATATATACCCAGTAACGGGATGGCTGGGTCAAATGGAATTTCTATTTCTAGGTCCTTGAGGAATCACCACACTGTCTTCCACAATGGTTGAACTAATTTACACTCCCACCAACAGTGTAAAAGTGTTCCTGTTTCTCCACATCCTCTCCAGCATCTGTCTCCAGATTTTTTAATGATCCATTCTGACTGGCGTGAGATGGTATCTCAATGTAGTTTTGATTTGCATTTCTCTAATGACCAGTGATGATGAGCATTTTTTCATATGTTTGTTGGCCTCATGTATGTCTTCTTCAGTAAAGTGTCTGTTCATATCCTTCACCCACTTTTGAATGGGCTTGTTTGTTTTTTTCCTGTAAATCTGTTTTAGTTCTTTGTAAATTCTGGATATCAGCCCTTTGTCAGATGGGTAGACTGCAAAAAATTTTTCCCATTCTGTTGGTTGCCGATTCACTCTAATGACTGTTTCTTTTGCCGTGCACAAAGAATTGAATATAGCTAGATGTTACCTAAGTATTATAATTTATAACAACTAATACACACTGAATATTACGTGTCAGGCAGTAGTCTATATGCTTTCTCATGGATTACTTATTTAATCCTTGTAACAACAATAGGACACAAGTACCCTTAATCCTGACTTTCATTTGAGTAAACTGAAGCACAGAAGTTAAATTACTTGTATAACAATGTAAGGCCAGTAAGTTAAGGAGCTGAGATTCTAGTCCTGGCAGTTTTACTCCAGAGTCTATACTCTTGATCACTATACAGTTTCACTGACACCTTCAAGCTTTGCTTTCCTTGTTTCTATCGTTTTAGTAATTGTGTGTGTGTATAAAAATTTAAAGAGAAACATATATAGTAAACCCACTAAAATCCTCCTTGACGCTCCAATTTCCATTCCCTCTACCTAATATTTTCGTATTGATTCTTCCAGTTCTTTTTCTCTGCATGAATACACCAGTCACTGTACACATTCCTCCCTCTGCACATACAGTGAATTCATCATGCAGCACTTGCTGTTCTGCGCTTCCTTGGTCTTGGACATCTTTCTAAATCAGAATACGTTCGACTCCCGTATCATCTTACGCTGTGGCTTCAAGTCCACAGAGCGGCTACACTCCTGATGGTTATTTTAGTCTATCACAAAAGGCAGTGAGTATCCTTTTTTGCATAGACTATTTTATGTGACACAAAATTCTACTTATTTACATTCTCGAGAGTGAACAGAGTCCAGATTCCATTTTTGGCACAGCTAGACTCTCATCTGGTTTCAAAGAAACTATTTTTAGCCTGGGCCACCTCCCCTCTTAAACGACTCACTTCACTACAGAACTACACAAATGTGGAACTAAGGGAATATTAAAAACATCATCTTCCACTTGGGAGTTTCAGCAGTCGTATTTCCCTCATGGAACAATTTTCCTTTCGTGCAATTTTCTGACATTTTTCTTAATAAAATTTTCAGCTCAAGCCCGCTTGACTCAAACACTTGACCGGTGGGTGACCCTTTTGTTTTTCTGTGATGCCTTTGAAGGGCACACCTATAATCTGCAGCTGCGGGCATTAAAAGCTTTCTCAGGTGTTGGCTATCATAGGACACAAGGGGAAATGCCACCCTCAATCTTTAGCAACTTCTATTTTTTTAAGTGGAAGCCTCTAAATGGCTTTAACTAAAGTAGTGCTCTGGTGTTAAGAAATTCATAATGAAGAAATCAAGTAGGGTGGTTATGAAACACGTCACACCCCAGACAGTTACTAGAGGAAGACTACTCTTGGAAACACAACGTTTTTAAAATCAGCTTATGTTAAACAGTACAATCGGGTGCCTTATATGTACTTTCTGTGCCCTACTGCCTGTTTCAAACTGCAAGTCCATAAATGAAAAAAAAAGAAACAGTATTTCATCTTAGCATCCCACCCAGCAACTCCACACTTCTGAGCCAACCTGCAGTTGGCATGGCCGGGAAATGGGGTGTTCTCATTAAAAAGCACTCCTCATCCATATTTAGATTTCCAATTTTCACAGAAATAGGAATGGGGATACTGTCCCACAGGATTATGAAGAATAAATGAAATAATGCAACTAAAGCACTCCACATAGCACCTGGCACATCAAAGAACTCTCTCAATGCTTAAACATAAATCCTTTATCCCGCGGGAAACTGATTCTCTTACTCTGCAAATCCACGCAGGGTCCCATGAGGCCCACACTCGCCCTAGCTTTGCAGCTCCCTCCAACCACAGCGAAGAAACTCTTTTAGTAAGAAATAAAATTTTCTACGACTGGCATCAAAACACACAAAACTCAGGTATCTTGAGACAGTACAATTTTCAGATGAGTAATAGAGAATGATACATTATTACTGCTAATTAGTCACTTAGCCTTAAGACATTTAAAATGCAACAAAGATTTATATTTAAGAAAGCCAAATGAGAGATTTTCATGGAAGTTTTACTTTTCAAGCAAGTTTACCTCCTCAGGGAAACAGAAGTGTGTGCTCTTTCTCTAGTGGGAGATGACAAGAAATAAAACTAATTGAATGCTGTGTTCTCTAGAGATGCTTGACAGTATTAATCCAAATATTTTACAGAAGGTAAATATATTGTACAGATTCCTTTTATAACCACAGTGAATCCTGACTTTCCTTTGGGAGAGACATGTGGGCACAAAGGAGGGCAATTAGACCAATCATTTCTAAATAGTTCTTAAATTGCAGATTTTGTTTGAATAATTAAAATGAGAAGAACTGGGGTTATTAAAAAAAAAAACAAAACACGTATGTTTAGACCTTCTTGAAAAGAAATGTTACTTCTTAAGTCCAAACTATCTAAAATGAACTCCTTCTGCCTGTCATTTCGAGCTAAATAACTGGCAGTTAGTGGCCAGGCGCAGTGGTTCACGCCTGTAATTCCAGTACTTTGGGAAGCTGAGGCGGGTGGATCACCTGAGGTCAGGAGTTCAAGACCAGCCTGGCCAGTACGGTGAAACCCCATCTCTACTGAAAATACAAAATTAGCTGGGCATGGTGGCACGTGCCTGTAATCCCAGCTATTCGGGAGGCTAAGGCAGGAGAATCACTTGAACCCAGGAGGTGGTGGTTGCTGTGAGTAGAGATTGTGTCACTATACTCCAGCCTGGGCGACAGAGCTAGACTTTGTCTCAAAAAAAAAAAAAAAAAAAACAAAATTGGCAGTTAGTACAAGAATGAGACCTTTCTGCCTCTAGCCAGCTGAGTAATTAGAAGTCTAATAATAGATGGCAAATTTAGAAAATAAATTATCCCCTGTGCATACTGTACCCTGCACTATCTAAAATGGTTTATATCTACCACACAGTATCCTGAGTGATTTTAATATGAAATGTGGGCTTTGGGAGTGAATGAGTCGAAGTGTGCAGAATCTTTCATCTTGAGCTATGTATTTTAAATTTGAGAATACAAAATCAAATGTAGAGCAACTGCTCTTACTTTTAAAAGATCAACTTATCAAAGTCAGAACTTCTCACCACCAACTCTCCAGTGTCCTCCTAATTAACAAACCAATTATATTTTAGTTCTAATTTTAAAATGTAGGTATTTAAACATTTCAGCATGGTAACTAGAACATTCTCAGGAGTAGAGAAAAGTGTATTAAAGACAATTGCTCAACATCAAAACAATAAAAAAGCTGGTGAGTTCAGTCAATATGGCTCTTGGAGTCTGCAGGGCAGACTCTAGCTTTTTACCACTTGGCTAAGTACCAGAAGCATCAAGTTTTTAAGTGTGTTCTGGTAGCTTAGTGATAAGGCTCTCCCTTATTGAAGAGTCCTTGATAAGAGATAATGACAAACTTAACCTTTAAAAATACCACACGCGGCCAGGTGCAGTGGCTCACACCTGCAATCCCAGCATTTTGGGAGGCCAAGGTAGGCAGATTGCTTGAGTCCAGGAGTTCAAGACCAGCCTTGCCAATGTGGTGAAACCCTGTCTCTACTAAAAATACAAAAATTAGCTGAGCATGGTGGCATGAGCCTGTCGTCCCAGCTACTCAGAAGTCTGAAGTGGGAGGATCTGCAGGTGAAGAGGCTGAGCCTGCAGTGAGCCATGAACATGCCTGGGTGACAGAGTGAGACTCTGTCTCAAAAAAAAAAAAAAAAGAAAGAAAGAAAGAAAAATCACACACCACCATCCGACAAAAATCTGCAACAAAAAACTGAAGAAATGTGCTCTGAGAGGAAACAAAAGATCTTCTGATGCCACAGAGAAACATAGCCAGTGGCCATCAGCTGAAGATCCCTTTGTGTGCAGCTCAGCCAGGAGTGCCCATGAGCCCCTCTGTACCGTTCCTTGTCCCCTTCATGGGGACCTGGGTGTTCCCTCCTACCTTAGTGGTCTCTGTTTAAAAACACATGTTTTTAGGATATGTACGTCTATTTTTAAACACATATCTAAAGCACATTTTCAATAAAACCACCCACATTGGACAATTTATCCTGTGTCATGCTTTGTTAGCTGGTATGCTATCCTGTGTTATTTAAAAGCAATCAGCAAAGTTATTAAGACTACAGCCCTCTGGAGCTTGCCGAATTCAAGCAAGTTGAAAATTCAAGATATAAACATATAAAAAGACAGTCATACACAACAATGGGAGGGACAAAAGTATAAGCTGAAGCTTATACTTTTGCAAAGGATTTAGAGCTGAACAGTGCTAACTGCAATTAAGAAAGGACGGAAGGATGAAATTCAGATAACATCTATTTGTAAAACACCTTGTAAACATTTACAAAGCTCTCTCATTAAGTATCTGTATGTTAAAAATAAGGCAATGCCTTCAAATGAGCAGTAGTACCCGCAGGGTGCCTGTGCAGCCCTCGAGTGCCTTGCAGGTCCCAAAGCCACAGCCTCAAAGAGGAAACTGCAGGCGGGTGTGGGAACATGCATAGGGTTAGCGCCCAAGAAGAACAATTCTGATAGGTGAGGAGATACACACAAACGCATAATGAGTTTCGCTCTTAGGAAGTTCACAGTAAGGCAGACAAGCTGTATGTGAATGTGGTATTTCAAGTTAGAATGTGGTAAATATAAAAAGTAGTAATGAGGGGACACTAAGACGACTTCTCAGAAGAGGCACTTGAGTTGGTCCTTACAGAGTGGCGAGAACTTAAACACGGCCAACGTGCTAGCAATGGGACTTTGGTCCAGTCCCGCATTCCTTAAGGTCTTAGTTTCTCTGTCTGTAAATGGGAGACTGTCAGTGACAAATGCTTTGAAGACCATAAAAACTATAGGAATATATTACAATCCCAAATAATGCAGGATAGCACTTTGATGTAGGAAATAATCATTTACCAAAAACTAGAGTTCTCCTAGAATGAGAAACCAGCTAGAATGAGGGGTAACAGATAAGCCCCAGCCTTCCAAAATCTAAAACAGCTTCTGACTACTTGAAGAGAGAGAAAGCTATGACAACTAAGTAAGAATATCCCTGAAAAGTGGCAGCTTTGTGATACATGTGGTAGCAACTCTCTGTCACTCCCAAGGCACAGGGTGGTAATCTTCATCCACAACATCTGTTTCTAGTGAAAAGCCCACACAGGCATCAGGCGTGGTTCTCCAAACCCTCCACCCTACAATGGGTGCTACACAGAAGCCCAGGGGACACGTGTCATGAAGCCAGCTTCCGAGAATGAACGCTGTTTGGTCATCATCTAACTTCTATGTCACAATGTATCTCTGGTGATGCTTGGCCACCGCAGTCCACGAAATCTCATTTCTGTTGTGTTGTCATTTTGTCACTTTTGAGTTCGTTTTATATTTAACTTTGTGAAATGAAAGCATCGGTTTTTACCTCCTTAAAAATAACTCTGTTTTTCAAGGAAGCTGGGTTGGGTCCCTTTTGAAAACATTTTGGTAAGTTTGGTTCCAAACTCATCACTGATGAGTTTACTGAATTTGCCTACCACCTCCTACGACCTTCCAGCACTCTTGGACTAAAGAAAACTTGAGAAAGAAAAAAGTTTCTTTTAGGTGCTATAAACTTCTAAGAGGTCACTGTTTTTCAAAAACTTTGCAAATGTGGTGTTTTCTTTTCTTTTTAAATTTTCAGTTCAGTTGTGAAATGATATTTACATGTCACTGGCCTTAGTAAAAGAATTAGCACTTAGTAAAAGAATTCTTGAAATTAAAGGTTTAGCTTCTTACTTTTAGATACTGTCATCTTGGTATATTTTGCTTTATAAGAAGTTAGCCTCCTAATTAATTTACCACTTATTTAGGAGCTAGGGAACCAGAGCTTGGGCTTCTTTTCCATTGCTGCCTTCCTTTTGGCCACCTGACTGATCGTAACTCCTGTTTAGGTGAGCTGGAGGAAAAGGAGAGAAAAATTGACATCTGGTGGAGCAGAAAGAAACCAGCTAGAGCACTGGCCTTGTCATTATCTCACTGTTGTGATGAACTGGCGCTTTCTCATCTCCAAAAGCAGGGCACTGAACTAGGAGATCGCCACGTCACATGATGAAAAACGCTCAAACTAACACTCTTTATCCTTGTGAGCAGCCCTAGTAGCAGATTTAATGTGGGAGGAGGTTCACACTACTGGATAAAAATCAAGTTTTAGGATTCCATGTTATCTAAGCTGACCACCCCACGGCAGAGGATCAAGACGTAGCTAAATATGGTCCTCAGGCAAGCTTCATTTCCCCATCTGTGAAGGGAGAGTAAATATAGCATACACATGTTAAGATAAATGAGAGAGTTGGTCAAGTGTTTTGAGCTCTTCGGCAGACAAGCCTGACTTTCCAAAAAAAGACAAACCACAACTTTGGAGCCAGTGCTATTTCTTCTGTGCATGGTGAGGTGACTTCCCCAGTTGTAAAGGATTTAGGGCTGAAATTCCATATTGTCTGGAGCTATAATTACAAGTCTCTTTCACTAAAACAGAGGTCAGCTGGGCTAAAGCATGTAGAAAGAAGGTAAATGTCTGGCCACATTTCCATGTGGCATACTCCTTTCCTAACTTTTTGGCACAAACTTCATACTGATAAAATATTCACTCCTTCACTCCACAAATATCTGGCAAGTAGATGCTGAGCACTGTGTAGAGAGGAGTAAACACAGCACAGATTCTGCCCTCCTGCCGCGCAGAGTACAGCAGAGGAGCCGCCTGCGCACAGGGCTGTGAGCTAGGGCAGTACCACCCTATGTCTGGGGGGCATTTTAGACATTTGGGAGGTGCTTTCAATTGTCAAAATAAGTGGGGAAACTCTGCCACCAGGGTGGGAGCCATGGTGCTACATGACCTGTGTGAGGGAAACCAGCCCCCGGCCCCGCATAACTGGTGAGTGAACTGCTAGACATTCATAAATCTGAAAAAAACTCTCGTGGGAAAACAGCCTGTTGCATAGCAAGAGTGATGCCATCTTTAAGTAAAAATGCCACGATGACCTAATCTTTGACGCCTACAATTCAAGGTGTTCCAGAGCATAGAGAAGCCCTCATAACCTCCCCAGTAGTCATGAGTTTCTAAAGGAAGTCTGAGACATGATGAACTTCCTGTGTCTTACCCTCAAGGCCTGCTATATAAAAGATACTTTCTGGAGGTTGGTTGTGAGACTCCACCATCTCTTGGCCTACCTACACATCATTCCTAACATCTGTTTCTAAGTCTCTGTGAAATATTTCTTTCTGAGAAACTGGATTTGTCAGCCTCCTTCTTCAGTCTCTCAGCTCTCTCGGCCTTTGAGGGTACATAGAACTGCTCACCATGAAGCACCTTTTATAATTGCATGAATCTAGGACCCGACCCTACTGCATATATAAAAAATAAAGTTTTAGGGAATAACTTCAATGTATTTTTAAAACATTTTTTTTTCTTTTTTTTTTTTTGAGCAGGGTTTCAGGCTGTCACCCAGGCTGGAGTGCACGGGTGTGATCAAAGATTGCTACAGCCTTGACCTCCTGGGCTATAGCTTCCACCTCAGCATCCCGAGTAGTTGATACTACAGGCGTGTGCCACCATGCCAAGCTAGTCAGAAAATTTTTATTTATTTTGTTTTATTTTGTAGAGACAGGGGTCTTGCTCTTTGCCTGGGCTAGTATCAAACTCCTGGGCTCAAGCAATTATCCTGCGTCAGCCCCCTAAAATCTTGGGATTACAGACATGCACCATGACTCTCAGACTTTAATGAATTTTCTAGAAGGTAATTTCAGTCCACATTGAAGGAGAAAGACTTTATCTTGTTTGAAACATCACAGGAGGCTGGGCGCAGTGGCTCATGCCTATAACCACAGCACTCTGGGAGGCTGAGACAGGTGGACTGCTTGAGTCCAGGAGTTCAAGACCAGTGTGGGTAATATGGCAAAACCCCATCTATACAAAAATACAAAAATGAGCCAGGTGTGGTGGTGTGTGCCTACAGTCCTAAGCTACTGGGGAGACTGAGGTGGGAGGATCACTTGAGCCTGGGAGACTGAAGTTGCAGTGGGCTGAGATCATACCACTGCACTCCAGCCTGGGTGATAGAGTAAGATCCTGTCTCAGAGAAAAAAAAAAAGAAATAAATAAGAAAAAAAAGAAACATCACAGGAGTTACTTATCATCACAGAAAATCACATGCCACTAGCAATATTGCTCTTAGTATCTAAATTACCAATAAAACACAAGTGTGTCAGCTAATATTTACAGCTGTTGCATTCATGGTCATTTTACCCTAATAAGTGCAGGCCTGATTATTTCATTATGATTTCTGGAATATTCAGCCCTGGGAGTTTAGGAATTTAACACTGAAATAAATAATTTTATGATTAATTACTTTCCTTTTATTTCTCCTTTATATCACTGCCAGGATGTTATACTGATTTAAAATTACATGTATAGGGAGGTTATATTATCTATAGATTTCATTTGAGGATAAGTAAAAAGGAAATATTTGTTATAAAAATGGGAGATGGGTCTAATAAAATTGAGGTGTCAAGTCAGGCATTTAACAAATTGGAACAAAAATGACTATAAATGCAAATTGGGGCAGGCGCTATGAAGGAAAAGAGCCAGGTTCTGGGAGAGAGAATAACCAGGAAGACGAGTTTCAGTGTAGGTAGGCAAGAAAGACCTCTCTGCAGGGGTGACATGGAACCTGAGACCTGAGGGGCTGCTTAGGGAACCAGACACAAGACAGTATACATAAAAGTCCCAAGGCAGAAAAGCCCTGACATACTGAAGACCACAGGAAAGGCCAGGGTGACAGGCAGGGCTGGAGAGGGAGCCAGCTTGGACCACAAGAGCCCATCTGCAATGGAAAGTCATTAAAAGGTAAGCCCCTCCCTGCAAAAATCACAAAATTTGAAAAAGACAATTCAGGCTACTTCAAGGAGAATGAATGGGAGGCAGGCAGGAGTGTAAGGGGAGAGGTTATTACAGTAATTCAACTGAGAGAAGACGGAGGCTTAGACTAAGGGGTAGCAGTTGACAACTAGAGAAATGGTGGACTCTAGATGTATTCTGGAAGTAGACTCAGGCTGGGGTGATAAGCTAGACGTGGAGCTAAAGGATTCCGTTTCTGGCTTATGCAGGTTGGATGAAAGGCTTCTTTTAGAGAGATGAGGAATACTGAGGGTGGTAAAGCACCATAGGGAGAGAACTCGAGAGGACAGTTTGGGACGTGTTAAGCTTGAGATGTCAAGCAGGTGGCCAGAGGAGCTCTCTGCCTCTGAGTTTCAGAACTAGCTTGTATTAGTACATACCTCCTTTTAGCTAAACCAAAGCATCTCAAGTTCGACATTTCTGAACTAAATTCATTTCTTCCCAGTCAAAACTGCAACTCCTCCTGTCTCCACCATCTCACTAAAAGGTATCGTCACTCAACTAGGCTACCAGGATCAACCCCTAACACAAACACACACACCAAAGCAGTCACCTGCTCAGCCAGTCTCACTGTTCCTTCTCTCTCTCCGTATTTCTTCACCTGGGAGCTCCTGCGAGTCTTCTAGGCTTGAGTCTGGGAATTACTTCGTCCAGCAGATCTTCTCTGAACCCCCAATTCAGCTTAAGCACTCCATGCTCCACACTTCTGTAGCACTAGGAGCTTCTCCTGTCATCCGATTTTTTACACTGTTAATACAATTGCCTCTTTTCTGATGTGCGTCTTCCCCAGGACTCCCTGAGGGCAGGGGACTATTGTTCAAGGCCTGGCTTGTGGTAGCAGCTTATTACATTCCTGCTGTATGAATGAGGGTAGCTCATGGGAAAGTGAAGTGAGAAAGGTCAGCTGCGGTCACGGTGCAGAGAGCTTGCACAGTGCTAGCCGCACCTCCTTCACCAGCTACAAAGCCTGTGGATCAAACACCTGAATTCTCTCCAGTAACAGGTTAATTTCTCAGGCTGCTGACGTCACTTTCAGCCAGAAATCAAACTGTCTCCTGTGAGCAGGGCCATTTTTCTGTGACACACCAATGGGTCCAACCCACCTCTCTGAATAATGTCAGTTCTTAATAGGGGAATCTTAGACTGAGTGATGCTTTATGCATTTCTGCTGCTGCTTTTCACCACAACTTTTTCTGCATTGTCTTGACATTTGTTTTATCTAGGTATAGAGGATGCAGTTGACTGTCTATCCAGCATTCTTCTCCTTCTTCCTCCTTCTTTCCAAAACCCTGATTCACTTCAGGACCCACCACCCCTTCTCCACTCGACACATGCCCCTGGGGACCCTGGCCCCATACTTAGCTAAATCTAGAGTCCCTGGTTTGATTCAGCCAATCACTGAGTTTCATTCCCCATTCCTGCCCCTCCCACTAAGTCACTGGGTCTTGGTGGGCACATGACCTGGGTTGTCCAATCAGACCAAAGTATTCACTGGCTTTTCCAAGGTAGCTCCTGCCCGACCTTCTCCTCCTGCAGCTGCTCCCCACCTCCTCTTCCCTACAGTGTAAAACGATCTGTCACTCACTGGCCCTATCTCTGCAGCTCGTGGAGATTATTCAGAGCCCCCTCTACATAGGCCATTGCTGTGCTTTCTGTTATCACCACCAGAGTCTGTGACAGCTCAGTCCCAGAACCTGCACTTACTTATCCCCAGGACTAGCTCTGGAGAGGGAGGTGTACAGACATCCCAGGTCCAACACTTCCACCAGAGAACCCCTCTCACCCTTTTAAACACTTGGCCTACAGAGGCTGACATCTCCTGTTGACATACACAGTCACACATCCTTTTAATAGATGAAGGCGACAAGCAGCCAAGCAGCAAAGAGAAGACCCCGGTAACTACACTCAGATGAAGGCTGCGGTGCTGCTTTCCTCCATGTCCAGATGAGGCAGCCAGAGTGCATGCAGGAGTTAAGCCATGCCCAACAAACCCATGTGGAATGTGAATACTTGAGCCCCGCTCTGCTGGCCAAACAAACACATACGGTGCAATCTGCCATCTGAGGACGAGGTCGGCTTGCTAGCAGATAAAATCAGGATGTCCTCACAAACACACTTGCACAGAACAGGCCCTTTCAAAAACACACACGATTTCTGAGGGGGAGACGAAAATGTTTTGGAACGGGCAGAGGTGGTGGTTGTACAACACTGTGAATATACTAAATGCCACTGGATTGTATACTTTGTTTTTTGAATTTTCTTTTAGAGGCAGGAGACAGGATCTTGCTCTGTCACCTAGACTGGAGTGCAGTGGTGTGATCATAGCTCACTACAGCCTCAAACTCCTGGGCTTAAGCAATCTTCCTGCCTCAGTCTTCCAAGTAGCTGGGACTACAGGTACATGACACATCACCACATCTGGCCAATGTTTTATTTTTTGTAGAGATAGGGGTCTCACTATGTTGCCCAGGCTGGTCTTGAACTCCTGAGCTCAATTAATCTTCCCACCTTGGCCTCTCAAAGTGCTAGGATTATAGGCATGAGCTACTGCACCCAGCCTGATTATATACTTAAAAATGCTTAAATTTATGTTGTATGAATTTCACCTCAATTAAAAAAATATATATATACACAGGGGCTGGGCATGGTGGCTCACGCCTATACTAGCACTTTGGGAGGCCAAGGTAGGAGGATCCTTTGAGCCCAAAAGTTTGAGACCAGCCTGGGCAACATAAGGAGACCCTGTCTCTATTATGAGAAAGAGAAAAAAAGGCAGGGTGTGGTGGCTCATGACTGTAATCCCAGCACTTGGGGAGGTGATGGCGGGGGAATCATGAGGTCTGGAGTTCGAGATCAGCCTGCCCAATAGGGTGAAACCCCATCTCTACTAAAAACACAAAAATTAGCTGGGCATGGTGGCATGCCCACACCCAGGAATCCGGGAGGCGGAGGTTGCAGTGTGCCGAAATCGTACCACTGTACTCCAGCCTGGATGACAGAGCAAGACTCTGTCTCCAAAAAAAAAAAGAAAGAAAGAAAAAGAGAAAAAAGAGAAGAAATACACACAGGTCCACAAGTGTGCAAAGGTATGATCTTGCCTTGCAGGTACCCACACACAAGTGCATGCGTATGTACACATACACACTCACCTAGATTTTTTTGAAAATTCAGAGAAGTGCTGCAGAATTACCCTGCAAGAAGTCCCAGGAGACCAACACATCAACTCTTCGCAGTGTGCATTCATCACCACTGAGCAGAGCTTATCCTCCTTCTGTGGGTTTGAGGCCTCCCCTCCCACTGCCTATTCTGTATTACTTCCCTTTTTCTTCTTCC